CCTCGATGGCACAATTTGTGTTACCAGGCATTGGAAAACTTAGATCATGTATTATGGAGATATCACTGTGCTGTGAACATTTGGGGGAGGTTTCTGAGAGACTCTTTTGCGTCAGTTTGGCTCTGAGTAGATGTTGTAAGGACATGATGGAGGAGGAACCTATTTATTTCTTTCATAATAAAGGTGCTCTGTGGAAGGTATTGAGGATGTCTCTTATTTATCTATCTATTTTTATTGTTATTTTTCTTTTTCTAAGTTTTTAGTTTATTTTCTGGAAGTAATGAGAAAAGTTGTTCTAGAAATTCATCTATACATTCCTGTTGTGTTTTACCATACGCTTGCTTTGATTATGTATGTTTAAGCAAATTAGATACTGTGCTGATATCTGATTGTTATTAGCAAAACACTCATTCGGAGACAAATTAATTGGTAAACATGAAAATATTGTACTGAATTTATTCAGGTGTTTTAACTTCACGATTGTAATGTATTATACCTGCAGTTTTTTGTGTAAAGTGCTTTCTTGCATCATTTGTAGAGCTGTGCTCTTTTCTTATCTTTCTTCCCCCTTGGAATTTAATCTTCTTGTACATTCATCATGACATTAATATGTTTTTCGTACTTGGGCAGGGGCAGTTGCTATTCTTCTTCTTTTGGCGGTTGCTCTTCTCTGTGCATACGAACTTTGTGCTGTATATGTTACAGCTGGTTCTAGTGCATCTGAGCGTTATTCACCCTCTGGTTTCTTTTTTGGTATATCAGCAATTGCCTTAGCGATCAACATGCTCTTCATTTGTCGGATGGTCTTTAATGGTATGCCCAAAAATCCATTACCATCCAACGATTCCTTCTATCTTTTTGCTTTCTTTTTGTTATAGTTTCTCTTGGTGCAGGAAATGGATTAGATGTGGATGAATATGTGCGGAGGGCATACAAGTTTGCATATTCTGATTGTATAGAAGTGGGTCCCTTGGCTTCTTTACCCGAACCACCTGATCCTAATGAATTGTATCCTCGCCAATCTATCAGGCAAGCTCTAGAAGTTCTCACTTATTATTCTTTCATGTCAAATCAATTAATTACCAAATCTTATTATGTTATGGTCATTGATTGCAATGATCGCTACATCTTTGTTGGTGTCCCCATGATTTTAATATTGTGTGTGTAATTTCTTTTAGTTTGTATTGGTGTCCCCATATACATTGTGGGTGTTAAATAGTTGTGTTGTAATCAACTAACTATTTAACATATATTTTTTTTTTGTGAACAAGAAATAAACTATTTAACAATATATATATTTTTTGAATATAGACTCTCAAGTTTGTGAAATTATATCCCAATCTTGAAATGTTAATGGTCCAATGATCATATCTAATATTGTTATTGATTGAAAACAAAGTAGACTGGTAATAAGAAACAAATAATCATAATATTGGGAAGGTTTGAGAGAACCGTGTGGTGCAACGTTAGTCTTCCTCCTCAGGAAATTGAGGCCTTCTATTTTATACTTTATAAGTGCTAAGTTTTATTTGGATTTTCCCAAGCCATAGTTTCTGAAAACCAAACAACATAATTCTCAGATTGCTGCCAAGAGGTAAGTCAGACATTTAAGAAGCCAAGATTCTCATCTTTACACTTCTACTTATTGGCAACTTCACTTAAACTCTGGTCGTTAATTTGGCCATTAATGAAAAAAGTAGCGTGTCATAAATGAATTAGAGGCAATTAAGATGTATTATTTATTACCAGAAAGAAAACCTTCCACCAACTACATCTCAACTTCTTTAGATAATATTCTACCAACACAATCTTCGACGATAACAAAGAAGAAGAGAGGATATTCTTGACGAGGACCTCTGAGATTCCTCTTTGTTTCCCATTGAGAATGTTGGTGTGATTAGAGTAACTGAGTAAGAGACACGAGGAGTACATTTTTTCCTAGTAATACCAAATTCACTTAGGTAACACCATATTCAAGAAATCCCAATCTAATTTTTTGTAGGCATTTTGAGATCGAATTTGGAAAGGGTTCCTTGCTTTCTCTTCCTTTTTGCTGATAAGAAACTTCATTAGTCACAATTGGATAAATGATTTTTTTCTCCTAACAATAAAACCTGATTGGGAAGGGGAGTGTTAATATGTGCTAAAATTATGCTTAAACGATCATTCATCTTTGGGTTGTTTAGAATTTGCACATCTCTGAAGAATATTCTTAGTAACTTTATTGCCAACTGATAGTATGATTGTTCACTTTTGGATTGGGTTTACCATTTTCAGGGCTTCACATCTTGGGCTTCTTTATGTTGGTTCAGTTGTAGTACTTGTAGCCTACTCTATTTTATATGGCCTTACTGCTAAGGAATCACGATGGCTTGGTGCCATTACTTCTGCTGCTGTTATCATTCTTGGTATGTCCTAACTGCTTCACCTATATTTAGCATTATTTTCTCGTATTAGCACTTCTGCATGTTTTGATGTTTTAAATGTTTTCGATACTTGTTTTGTAGATTGGAATATAGGGGCATGCTTGTACGGGTTCCGGCTGTTAAGAAGTGGTGTTTTAGCACTTTTTGTGGCTGGCATGTCTCGTGTTTTCCTCATTTGCTTTGGAGTTCATTACTGGTTTGTTCCTACCATTTTCATCTGGTCTGCTTGTAACTAGACCTGATAATGTTTTTTTCATGGTTTTCCTTTTTCCTCCTGTATCAGGTATCTGGGACATTGTATTAGTTATGCAGTTGTAGCTTCTGTGCTATTGGGTGCTGCTGTGATGCGTCATCTCTCAGCGACAGATCCATTTGCTGCTAGGAGGGATGCCTTACAGAGCACTGTGATTCGGTTGAGAGAGGGTTTCCGCAGGAAAGAACCAAATAGTTCATCAAGCTCGTCAGATGGTTGTGGTTCAAGTATGAAACGCAGTAGTAGTGTTGAAGCTGGTCACCTTGGTAATGGTGTTGAAACTACTAACAAGAGTGGGGCAGCAGTTCAATGTACTGTTGATGCTAATATTTGGAATGGTGTCTTATGTCGAACTGGTAGTTCCCAAGAGGGGATTAGCAGTGATAAGAGCATGGATAGTGGTCGGCCAAGTTTAGCTTTGCGAAGTAGTTCTTGTCGTTCTATCATCCAAGAGTCTGATGTGGCAACATCTTTCATGGATAAAAATTTTGATCATCATAGTTCCTTGGTGGTTTGTTCTAGTAGTGGGCTTGATAGCCAAGGTTGTGAATCTAGCACGTCAACTTCTGCAAACCAACAAACACTGGATTTGAATTTGGCTCTGGCATTGCAGGAAAGGTTGAGTGATCCAAGGATTACATCTATGTTGAAGAGAAGCTCTAGACAAGGGGATCGTGAATTGGCTAGTTTATTGCAAAATAAAGGTTTGGATCCTAATTTTGCAATGATGTTGAAGGAAAAGAGCTTAGATCCAACTATCCTAGCATTACTTCAAAGGAGTAGTTTAGATGCGGACAGAGAGCATCAAGATAATACTGATATTACCATCATTGATTCAAACAGTGTTGACAACATGTTGCCCAATCAAATCTCTCTGTCTGAAGAACTGAGACTTCATGGGCTTGAAAAGTGGCTTCAGTTCTCCAGACTTGTACTACACAATGTAGCAGGGACCCCAGAACGGGCATGGGTTATCTTTAGTCTAGTCTTCATAATTGAAACAATCATTGTGGCCATATTCCGTCCAAAAACTATTAACATTATAAATGGAACACATCAACAGGTGAATTAAACTTTTATTTACGTACATTGGATCATATTCAACAATGGCATATATGTGTCTTTATCCAAAAAAAAAAACTTAACAATCCCATTATTGGATTACAAATTATTAATCTTCTGAAATATGTTCAAGATATCCTTTGTTTGTATTCAAACTAAGACTTTTTCTTGTGCTTTCAGTTTGAATTCGGTTGTGCTGTGTTACTACTATCTCCTGTTGTCTGTTCAATCACTGCTTTCCTCCAGTCACTGCAAGCGGAAGAAATGGCAATGACCTCAAAACCTCAAAAGGTATGTATTCCATCTGAGGTTAAATCCATGCAGATAAGAAATTTGTTTGGTTTCAATAGTTACATTGATTTTTAGTAGCTTCCAGTATTTCTTTTCTTCTCAATGAGAGAACTTATTGTAAAAAAAGCTTTATTTATTTTTGATAAGAAACAATTTCGTTTATGAGTGAAATTACAAAAGAGGGGGATGTGTACCCCAAAAACCAAAGGAGTTACATGAGACTTCTCAAGTTGGTCAAAAGAGAAACCATACTATATGAGTCAAAATACTTTAGATGCTTTACACCAAGACATAGCAAGAAAAATGATATTGTCAAAGAGTAGCAAATGTGAGCTCTTTTTCTGTGAAGAGTCCAGGGTTTCTCTCGTTCCAAAATGTCCAAAAAAAGGCTCGAAGGATGTGTTTTCAGAGGATTGCCTTTTCTTTCTTGAAAGGATGGCCCGCAAGAACAAATGAGAGTAAAGCCTTGATATCAGTCGGAAGAGCCACTTTCCAATCAAATGCGAGTAATATCTCATTCCAAATCAATGATGCAAGGGAGCATGTGAGGAAAAGGTGGGGCTGTGTTTCTCCATCTCTTTTGCAAAGGATGCACCATTGGGGAGAGATGGTGAGATAGGGGAGCTTTCCCTATAGTCGGTCATGGGAGTTGATTGCCTTGTGTGATAGCTCCCATATGAAGAATTTAATCTTTTTTGGGTAGATTTCATCCCATATAGCTTCAGCCAGGGAAGGAGGGAAAGGGATGAGATGTTCCTTTGTGACCATGTCAGAGGGAAGGGTCTTGATGGAGAATATTCCTTTACTGTCAAGAAGGCCATTTCCAGAAGGGTAAAAAAAGCTTTATGAATTTTCTATTTTTGAGTTGATTCAAGAGAGAGAATGATAACAGCTCACAAATTTTGTTTGGTAATGTAGTGTGTAGGTTGCCAGGGCAACCTAGTTGGCAAGAGCTTGGATTCTCTTGATCCTATTGGCTTGGAGGTCTCAAGTTTGAATTTTCTAGTGGACTTAATACCAAAAATCCTTGATGTCTCCTAGGTCATTGGGTGGCTCCACTCCCAGTTCTAAAGTGTGGAGGTTGCATTAGAACTTTTTTTTCTGTCGTGGATACTCAACAAGCTTGTAGTGTAGTTTGAACCACCAAATAAGGAACTAAAGAACCTTAGAACTCAAGGACACAGTTGTACCAACCTATTGAACATATCCTGTTCAAGTGTTCAAGTAAGGTCGTAATAAGAAACTAAAGAACCTTAGAATATTAGAATCACATTGGTAAGAACAGTCTGTTATCATGGACCTCAACCAATTAATAGGTTCTGGCTTCAGAGATTTAACTGGATATCATATCTCTGCAACTGATGCACAGCTGAATACTTTGCCCGGACCCAGAGATGTCACTTTCTTTGTTTGTGTATTTATTCACCCCCTCCCCCACATTTTTTTAGAATCTATAATAAAATAATTAAACTCATATGATCTATGGAGTTATCAACACTTTAGACAATGTTTTCTGCATTGGAAAATCGTGTTGGAAGATAAAAGAAAACTTTTCAGACAATGCTACAAAGTTAGGTAGCAAACCATTGTGACATTTATTCGTATGCATACTCTGCCATATACGTTTATGGACCACTGTGAAGTTACCAATTCTTTACACACAATGCAACTAAACAAGAGAGCAAACAACTGTGAATTTTGTCTGTTATGCTAACATAGAATATTGGCCTAGATATTCTAGGAGAATGTAGGCTAAGTTAAAAGTGATGATAGACAGTTGTGGATTTGGGAGTTGTATGGCCTTTGCTGATATGGGCGAGCATCCTTTTTTTGTCTGCAAAATGAAGTGTGAATAGTAAAATACTTTTTCCAAATCTTTTCTGGCCAGAATTGTCAAAACAGTTCAAATTAAAATTTATGGATAGTTAGCCCCTTGGGGACTTGAAGGTTTGGTACACCCTGCAGAAGTCTTAGGTTTTGACCTTTTTGATGATGCTATTTTGCATGCATAGTATGCTATTTGGTTCACATGCATAAGTTTCTGATGATATCATTTATTTTGGTCTATCTTTCATTCTTCTTTATGAAAGCATGGCTTTTCATAAAGAATATTTTTGGTCTATGCCTTTTAATATGCTCATTTTCTGCAGTATGGGTTCATAGCTTGGCTGCTCAGCACTTCTGTGGGGCTTTTACTTTCTTTCTTGAGGTTTGTTCATATCATCTACCACCAATTATTTTTTGTCTTTGTGAAGCTTTGGAGCTGTATTGACCAGGAAAAGCTGGAAACTGGAAATATTTTTACTTTTATTTATACACATGCTTTTTCTGTTATATTGAAGTCCCTTTTCTGAGATTGGAACGAGTTTCTTCAGAGACTTCTATAGTTTCTGTGTTTTATTGTTATTTACTTGGTGCCTTCTTTCATCTTCTTTTACTATGGTCATTTCTTGATTAGCAAAAGTTTTTGATTTATTTCCCTTCTGTTCTTTCAGTTTCATTTGGATGCATTAATTTCTTTTTTCCTTGGTGAATGACAGTTAACTGTCTGTTTTGCAGCAAGTCATCGGTTCTTTTAGGGCTGTCCTTAACAGTTCCGCTCATGGTAGCTTGTCTTTCTCTTGCCATTCCTATATGGATCAGAAATGGGTACCAGTTTTGGATTCCACGAGTACAATGCATGGGTTCTGGAGGAAACCATCGAACTATTGTAACAAAGGAGGTTTGTTTCTTTTTTTCATACTTTTGAACTCTTCAATCACTGCTTAACATTGCATCTAATTTCAACTATCCTGATGATCTTACAGGGTATTGTTCTTGTGATTTGTATGTCACTGTTTTCTGGATCCGTGATAGCGCTTGGTGCTATTGTGTCTGCCAAGCCTCTTGATGATTTACGCTACAAGGGGTGGACTGGTGATGACAAAAGCTTGTCATCGCCTTATGCTACATCTGTGTATCTTGGCTGGGCAATAGCATCTGTAATTTCTTTAGTTGTCACTGGTGTGCTGCCAATAGTTTCGTGGTTCTCGACGTACCGGTTTTCTTTCTCTTCTGCAGTTTGTGTTGCCATATTCACAGGTAACATCTTCTGGTTTTCTATAGTTGTATTCTTGGCTGTTCAAATAAGGTTCTTGAAACTAGTGGTTTAAATTTTAAAGGTCTGCCACCAGTTGGTTTTAATGTGCTCTTTTTCTTGTTTTATAGTTGTTCTTGTCATGTTTTGTGGTGCATCATATTTGGAGGTTGTGAAATCAAGAGTTGAAGAGGTTCCTACAAATGGAGATTTCCTTGCTGCCTTGCTTCCGCTAGTGTGCATTCCTGCTTTGCTCTCTCTCTGCTCTGGATTATATAAATGGTGAGAACCTATTCCTCGTACAATCAGCAGGGTGGGAAACTATTATTATCAATTTGTCATCCAGTTGAACTTTGCAGCTGGATACATTCTGATAAACTTTTGGATGTTTAACATTAAGGAGAGAGGGTTTTGTTAGCTTTTGAGCATGGATTGTTTGCAGGAAAGATGATGGCTGGAGGCTTTCTCAAGGTGTATATGCATTTCTTTTCATTGGGCTCCTCCTGCTACTTGGTGCTATATCAGCTGTTATAGTTGTAGTTAAACCCTGGACGGTGAGAGAAGATTAGTAATACCTTTCGTTTTATCTACCTCAACCATCTTCACTTCTCTGATAGCACTTTCTTTCCATGGAACAGATTGGGGCAGCATTTCTTTTGGTGCTTCTTATGATTGTGCTAGCAATTGGCTCTGTCCACCATTGGGCTTCAAACAATTTCTATTTGACGAGGACCCAAATGTTTTTTGTTTGTTTCCTTGCTTTTATTTTGGCTTTGGCAGCATTTCTTGTTGGATGGTTTGAAGGTGAAATCAGGATTCATTGCTTCTACTTCTTGTTCCCGTGTTTTTTCTTTTCCCATTTGAAAAGTTATGGTTTTGGTTACAAGATTAAAAAGTTTGCCTAATAACGCCTTCCTGTTTCTCCCCTCAGGTAAACCATTTGTGGGAGCTTCTGTTGGTTATTTCTTATTCTTATTTCTTCTGGCGGGAAGAGCATTAACTGTGGGTTATGCATGACCTTTAAATATTTTGCTATTTATATTTGATTTTTTGAGCTAACTTGTATATTTATTACTTGTAATTACATTTTTTTTGTTTTTGTTTCTACAGGTTCTTCTCTCACCTCCAATTGTAGTCTATTCTCCAAGAGTTCTTCCTGTATATGTTTATGATGCTCATGCAGATTGTGGGAAGAATGTCAGGTTTGTTTAGCTGTCTGATATGTTTTTCTTTTATTTATTGACAAATGCCTGTTGCTTTCTTCATGATAAGTGATAATTGTATATAGGGGTTTGACTATAAGCGTCTGATATCAGCTAGTTTATTCTCTATAGTGCTGCATTTCTTGTGCTTTATGGGATAGCGTTAGCAACTGAAGGCTGGGGTGTTGTTGCGAGTTTGATTATTTATCCACCATTTGCTGGAGCTGCTGTATCTGCAATTACTCTTGTTGTATCCTTTGGTTTTGCTGTCTCTCGTCCATGTTTAACTCTCAAGGTATGTGATTAGTTGTGTTGAATTCTTCAATATGTGAATTATCCACCTGACTTCGTTAAGGCCTCTGTAAAAGAAACATATTTTCCAATTTGTGTTCAGTATTTAATACATTATCCATGCTATCTAATTTATGTAGATGATGCAAGATGCGGTTCACTTCCTCAGCAAGGAAACTGTTATTCAAGCAATTTCTCGGTCTGCCACCAAGGTGTGCTTGACTATAGTACATTCATATAAAAAGTGCCTTTTCTTATTTATTTGTTTATGTTTGGATGAGACTCAGAGACATGGTAGGATGTCTATATATGTGTGTGTATATTATATTGTACGAGAAACATTTTGTTAGAAGAATGGATGTACATAGAAAGGGCAGGGGGTGGGGAGACGACAGATTCTTCCAGCCCAATCAAAGGAGATAAGAATACCTCCACAACTTTTATCTCTAAGTATGGATAATAATTATGAAGGAATGAATCGAAGGTACCACAATGAGGAGGCCAGAAAAGTAATAAAATCCTACACCTCATGCAGAACCCTCTCAACCTGACACTGGCAGATAATACTTCTATTTCTCTCAATTCACATATCCTTAGAAATTCATTTTGACTAAATTAGGCAAATAGTGTTAGTTTTGTCTTGGGATATTTTGCAGCACAACAAAGTCTGGAAAGATCTGACATCGTGGAGAAAACCCAGATTAATCCGAATATGCTAAGCACCTCCACTTGATGGTGCTAACCAAAAAGGTAGGACATGAATAGGTGGTTTAAAAGAAGGTGCAGTCCCGAATGTTATTTTGGGTAGATAGAAAATTGGTATATTCTTTTGTGGAGTTTGAATGATGTTATAGTGTGGTCAATCGTGGAGTCTACTGGAAGATCTGGGGGCTTGCTGAGATTGTGGGATAAAACAAGAATCAAAGTTTTTGATGTTCTGAAAGGTGCATGCTTCTTGACTGTTCTAATGGAGGCGGGGGATGGAAGAAAAAGGTATGCATTTTCAATATTTATGCTCTGAAGTATAGAGAAAGGAAGGATTTTTGGGCAGAATTAGGTCTTGTGAGTATTACCAAGAGGTTTGCTGCTGGAGTCAATATAATTTGGTATTTCCTTGGAAAGTATAATGGAGGAAGGATAAGGAGCATGGAGAAATTTAGTGATTAAAAATTGATCTATTTGGCGTTGTTTAAATAGAATTGAATAATTTAAAATTCACGTGGTCGTAGTTTTCTATAGGTCATATTTTTTTAATGAAAAAAATGGCTAGACAAATTCAAGGATTCAAGCGCCTTCAAGGAGATCTTAATCCTTTCAGACAATTTGCCCATCATTCTTGAAACTAGGAACCACTTGTAGTGCCACTTGGAAGAGGATTTTGTATGTACCTTCACTTGTGGAGCCCTCGCCTGTTAAACTCTTGGCTAACTCATACAGGTTTGACTAGGAGTGGTGGAAGGAAGAAAACATAGTCGCTGGGTTACAAGTTGATGAAGAAGCTTAAAGTTGTCAAGAATCAGATATAAATTTTGGAGTGAAAGCACTGCTGGAGATGTTATTGTTACAAAAGGAAGAAATTGAAAGTTAGATTGTTTTCACTAGATATGAGTAGGAGGATTTGATACTCTATGATGATGAAAAAGATCTGATGAAGCAAAATGCTTCTCGAATTTTTCATGAAGGGGGATGGAAGACCAATATAAGAAAGCAAGGTCACCTGGCTTAAAGAAAGGAGATGGAAATTCAGTCTTTCTTAGTCGGATGTTATTAGGAAGGTAAAAAAAGAATTTTATCTTGAATTAACTAATGTGAATGCCTTAAGCATTGGGTATTTTTTTTTTTTTTTGGATAAGAAACTTCAAACTTCATTCAAAAGAGAAATCAAAGGAGCAACAACCTAAGGGCGGGGCCCGAGAAGGCCCTCCCCTAAAAAGCTATAACATTACAGCTTCCCAATCTCGAGAAAGTAAGGCTATATTGTAATTACAAAAGAATCTCCTATGAGTAAGGCACCAAGTTGTAGTAATTTGTTCATTTTCACAAAAAAATATCAAAAGGGGAGGGACTAGCTGCCATTTCATTACCTTACATGTAGCTATTACTTACTTGGGATGCTTGACTGAAGTTTGACCCTTCATGTAGTCAAAATTCTCTTTCTGATACTCCATTATTTATATGATGTGTGGATTATTTTATATCTTATTCACACAAAAGCTAACTTGTTATCAAGGCTCTAAATATTGATGTCGATGAAAATTTTGAGGTCTCGATTTTATGGAAATGTCAATAGAAATATCGATAAAATGTCGATGTATATGGATGTTTTTGGAAAATTATAAAAATAAAAACATATTAACAAATATTTAAACTAACAAACAAATATTTCATAATTTTTAATAAGTTAAAAATTATTAATATTAATATTTGTTGTCCATATTAATGATACTTTATTGATATTTTTATAATTTGTCGAATTTTTTGCAACTATGGAAATGTTGATTCACTCCTCATGTCGTGTCGAACCTATAGACATGGGATGAAAATTTAATACCCTGCTTGTTATTATGTACATTCATGCTCCTAGTGCATGTTTTACATTTACTGATGCCTTTCGTTTATTCTCTGTTCTGAAATGCCGTAGCTTATCTAAATGGATGAATTTTGTTTACCATTCAGACTCGAAATGCTTTGTCTGGAACATATTCAGCTCCACAGAGATCTGCTAGTTCTGCAGCTCTCCTCGTTGGTGATCCTACTGTCATGCGTGATAGGGCAGGAAATTTTGTGCTTCCAAGGGCAGATGTTATGAAACTAAGAGATCGTTTGAGAAATGAGGAGTTAGTTGCTGGATCATTCTTCTGTAGACTGAGATATAGGAGGGCATTTTTTCATGAGTCAACTAACGATGTTGACCACAGAAGGCAAATGTGTGCTCATGCTCGTATTTTGGCTTTGGAAGAAGCAATTGATACAGAATGGGTATACATGTGGGACAAATTTGGTGGCTATTTACTTCTTTTGCTTGGTTTGACTGCTAAAGCTGAGCGAGTTCAAGTATGTTCTGAACTGTTGCATATTATTGATGAAATATATGTTCACTTCTCTTTACTCATTACTGGTAGTTAGAAATTGACAGATAATCCTGATGGTTTTCTTTTTGGATATGCAGATGCATTTTATTGATATGTTTCGAAATATTTTAATTAAATTGAGCTCTTTTTTTAAAAATTTAATTTGAGTTGATTGACTTATTGTTATTGTTTTTTGTAGGATGAGGTTCGGTTAAGACTTTTTCTTGATAGCATAGGCTTTTCAGACCTGAGTGCTAAGAAAATAAAAAAGTGGATGCCTGAGGACCATAGGCAGTTTGAAATCATTCAGGAGAGGTATAATAACTTTTTCTTGAGGAATTATTGAAGATTTTAAATTTTCTGCGCTTTCTAAATGTTCTCTTGTTAAAATTGTAGTTATATAAGGGAAAAAGAAATGGAAGAAGAAATCTTAATGCAAAGACGTGAGGAGGAGGGAAGAGGTAAAGAAAGAAGAAAGGCTTTACTGAAGAAAGAAGAGCGTAAGTGGAAGGAAATTGAAGCTTCTCTCATGTCCTCTATTCCAAATGCTGGTGGTCGAGAAGCTGCTGCCATGGCTGCTGCAGTGCGTGCAGTTGGTGGTGATTCTGTGCTTGAGGATTCTTTTGCTCGAGAAAGGGTGTCAAGCATTGCTCGCAGGATTCGAGTAGCGCAGTTAGCTCGTCGTGCAGTTCAGGTTGATTACTTCACTCTCTCCAATAGAATAAGGAACATAAGCTTTTTCTTGGGTATGATGGTTTAATATTATTATTATTCTATGTTTAGTTAAAATCTTGTATTTGCAGGTTCAAAGTACTGTAGATTAGCCAAACTGATATGTTTTTTAGTCAAGTTTCTCTTGCAATTTGTGTTTCTTTATGAAAGTATTCTGGGTACGTGATCAAAATTCCTTTACGTGGCCTCTTTCACATTGGGATGTGAGCCTTCTGAGTACAGCTTTATGATGTGCCACTATCATAACCTAACTGTCTAAAGCTCCACTTTGCTTATTTCATTGCATCAGTGTACTTTCTTTTCTATTTTAGTGGAATGCGGTTTTTGGTCCATTTTTTATGACCGTGGTTGTGGTTGTGCTGACCAACCTATGTTCAACTTAGCTAATCCCGCATAATTACTGCTTGATGCCTAAGTTCTCCATTTGAAATTGTTATTAAAGGAATTGTAATCATGATGATATTTTGTTTTCTTTATTCATTGTACGTTTGCAGACAGGAATTCTTGGTGCTGTCTGTGTACTTGATGATGAGCCAACAGGAAGTGGCAAGCATTGTGGTCAGATTGATGCTAGTTTATGTCAAAGTCGAAAAATCAGCGTTTCAATTGCTGTGTTGATTCAGCCAGAGTCAGGCCCTGTTTGTCTGTTAGGTACTGAGTATCAGAAGAAGATTTGCTGGGAATTTCTGGTGGCTGGTTCTGAACAAGGCATTGAAGCTGGTCAAGTTGGTCTCAGATTGATTACTAAAGGTGACAGACAATCTACCGTAACAAAGGAGTGGAGCATAAGTGCAACCAGTATTGCTGATGGAAGGTCTGTGTCGTTTGTTTTGAGAACCAGACCGAGTAGCTCCTCCAGCATCCATATAACTGCATTTAGTTTCCCTCTTGCTTCTGCTTTCTTTCATTTTGCGTGAGACTGCTTTATTTGGTATTGCTGATGCAAGGCCTGTCTTATTTTTTTATCAAACCAGACCGGGCAGCTTTTTTAGCAATCAACATAGCTGCATTTTAGTGGCCCTCTTGCTTTCTTCCATCCTTGCCGGGGACTGCTTTCTTCTGTGTTTAACTATCTCCTCTCTCTATCTCTTGGTGCCTCTCCCTCGTGTGCTTGAGATTTTCAGTTTTATGTTTTAAACCCCCTTTGCCGTGGCTGTTGTGGAGAATAGTTTTTTGTTACAGATAAATTCTATTTGATATTTGAACTTCTACTTGCAGGTGGCATATTGTAACTATGACCATTGATGCTGATTTGGGAGAAGCAACTTGCTATTTAGATGGTGGGTTTGATGGCTACCAAACTGGGTTGCCATTAAATGTGGGCGATAACATTTGGGAGCAAGGGACAGAAATTTGGGTTGGTGTTAGGCCCCCCACAGACATTGATATATTTGGGAGATCAGACAGTGAAGGAGCTGAGTCCAAGATGCACATAATGGATGTCTTTCTCTGGGGAAGGAGCTTAACAGAAGATGAAATTGCTGCCCTCCATGCTGCTATTAGCTCCACAGACTTTAATATGATTGACTTCACCGAAGATAATTGGGAGTGGGCAGATTCACCCTCTAGAGTATGTTCTTTTTTTGCTATTATGATATGAGATGCAAGCTACCATTCCAGTGGAACCTAATAGATCCCTTCTTTGTTTTCTTCAGGTTGATGAGTGGGATAGTGATCCTGCAGATGTTGATCTGTATGATAGGGATGATGTGGATTGGGATGGGCAGTATTCAAGTGGAAGGAAAAGAAGATTGGAGCGTGAAGGAGTGGTAGTTGATGTGGATTCTTTCACAAGGAAATTTAGGAGACCTCGAATGGAAACGTGTCAGGAAATTAACCAACGAATGCTTTCTGTAGAATTGGCTGTTAAAGAAGCCCTCTCTGCGAGGGGAGAAATGCATTTTACTGATGAGGAGTTTCCTCCAAATGATGAGTCCTTGTACGTGGATCCAAAGAATCCACCTTCTAAACTGCAGGTACTTTTTCTGTCTGATTTTCTGATTTTTGAGGTTCTTAATCAGTATAGTATTTTCTTCATAAGCTATATGTTTTTATCTAGGTTGTTTCTGAGTGGATGAGGCCTGTTGAGTTAGTAAAAGAGGGCAGAATAGATTCTCAGCCTTGCTTATTTTCTGAGGCTGCCAATCCATCTGATGTTTGTCAGGTTTGTCTCTGAGAAATGACTTCTCAAAATTTTGTTCGTCCTACCAAAGGAACGCTTGTGTTTGTCTTTTGAATCTACCAAGGCTGAGCATTTAATCTCTCTAAGTTTTTTTGGTTGTGATATTACTTATCTTTAACAAGATGCACGTCTTTGTTACAAATAAAACAGGGACGATTGGGTGATTGTTGGTTCTTAAGTGCTGTTGCTGTATTAACAGAGGCTTCCAAAATTTCTGAAGTGATTATTACTCCACAGTATAATGACGAGGGGATCTATACAGTTCGCTTCTGTATTCAGGTGAGTTTTTCCTTGTTATCATTTGATTGGTTGCTCATGCTTGTCATGAGCACGGCTTTGCTGATATAGTGCGTTTTTTAGTAAACCTGGCTTCTTCACCATGGTTGGTCTAAACTTCTTCTACTGTTTCCAATTTATTTATGTTTCTAATTTTTTATTGCGAGGTTACTTGTGATGGGAAAAGACACTTTCTGTTTTCGAGCTAGTATCTAGTCTTAAAATCAATAGAATAGGTCCTCAGTGTCTAGGATGGCTGTCTGTGACTCTTCTAAGCTTTTTTAGAAGTTGTTATTTAGCAAGGTGTGAGGTGTTTGTTTTTCCTTTTTTCTACTTGGATCTTTCAGAAAATAGTTATAAAAAGCTTTACTAAGCCTACACCAAGAAGCTTTCTTTTTTTTTTTTTTCTTTTTTTTTTTGGTTATAAGAAACTCAACTTTTCATTATCAAAAGAGGAATAACAAGAGAATGGAGATAAGCCCCATCAAGCCAAGGGATTACAAAAAGGCTTCCCAATTGGCACAAATTTGAGAAAAGTTATGATTACAAAACAACTATGAAAGAGAGCACCAAGTGGAAGCATGGATTCTAATGAGATCCCAGAACTCTTCTCAGTTAGATTCCTCCCCTGAAAAGATTCTCTCTTTTTTCTGGAACCATAATCTCCACAAGAGAGCTGCTTGCACTTGTCCATTGAACTTTAGCAGAGCCATGGAACGCACCACCGAACAACAGCTGAAAAGCAGCCTCAGAACTGCTTTTGGGAAAGCACCACTTCATGTTGAAAAACTTGAAGAGGTTCAGCCAGCAAGCTTCAGCAAAGGGGCAAGAGAGAAACAAATGTCTTTGGTCCTCGTTCTCTTTACAGAGAATACACCAGTTGGGACTTAAACATACGTAGTCTCTTTTGCAATCTGCATAGGGCACTCAACCTTTCATGGGCAAAAGTTCGCAGAAAGACTTCTACCTTTGGAATTTTGGCTTTCCATATGTCCTTTGTTAGAATTGGATTAGAAGACTCTATTCCACATCGGCTTTGGAACTTATGATTTGACCGAGAATGAACCACTTCCTTCTAGTGCCCACCTACACCGAGAAGGTGTAACAAAGAGAAAATTGTCTATAAAACGTAAAGAAACTTATCTTTTTTTCTCTATAACCATGTGCACCACAAAAAACTTCTGTTGAGCCAAAGGACTTTTGCATTGTCTTTGAATTGATGATAAAGGAAAGCTGAGAAAAGATTGTTAGCCACTTTGTAGTTAAATACAAAAGACCATCCAAAACTGGAAAACATGTTCCTGAATTTAGTAACTTGGTATCCGTTTACTAATACTTATTCTAACTCGTAACTATATCTGTGTTTATTTTCTTAATTTCCAATTCTGACGTGTTGTGATTAACATTTTAATTACTGTGGATATCATTCTCTCTTTCTAGAGTGAGTGGGTCCCTGTGGTCGTTGATGATTGGATCCCATGTGAATCACCGGGGAAACCTGCATTTGCTACTAGTAGGAAAGGTAATGAGCTTTGGGTGTCCATATTGGAGAAGGCGTATGCCAAATTACATGGGTCTTATGAAGCATTAGAGGGCGGTCTAGTTCAGGATGCTCTTGTTGATCTTACTGGAGGTGCTGGTGAGGAGATCGACATGAGGAGTGCCCAGGCCCAGATTGATCTAGCTAGTGGTAGGCTATGGTCTCAATTGTTGCGCTTTAAACAAGAGGGATTTTTACTTGGTGCTGGCAGTCCATCAGGATCGGATGTGCATGTTTCCTCTAGTGGCATTGTGCAAGGACATGCCTATTCATTGCTACAGGTAAGTTTTTTCTACCTGTGAATCTGATAAATTTGTATCAATATATTGATTGAATGTTAGAGCGAAGAATATCCAACCTTTTTTCTGAATATTCAGGTAAGAGAGGTTGATGGGCACAAGCTTATTCAAATACGAAATCCATGGGCCAATGAAGTTGAGTGGAATGGTCCTTGGGCTGATTCTTCCCCTGAATGGACTGATAGGATGAAGCACAAGCTGAAGCACATTCCACAGGTGTGTTCTCGTGCTTTATTTGCCAGATTTCGTTATAAGAAGAAATGACAAATGGGTGTTAAAATTCAAAACGTGTAACCTTGACATAGTAATCACGAGACTGCACGACATAATTGTTTTTCATGTTTTGTATATGTTTTTGCAGTCGAAAGATGGAATATTCTGGATGTCATGGCAAGATTTTCAGATTCACTTTCGATCGATATATGTTTGTCGAATCTATCCTACAGAGATGCGCTATTCTGTCCATGGCCAGTGGAGAGGTTATAGTGCTGGTGGTTGTCAAGATTATGATACATGGCATCAAAATCCACAATTTCGATTGAGAGCTTCTGGGCCAGATGCATCATATCCTGTACATGTTTTCATCACCTTAACCCAGGTATTCTCCTTTTCTTGTGTTTGAAAATGTATTCTTGTTGCTGAACATTATTAACCTAAAACTCACTCGTACATGTTTAGGGTGTAAGCTTCTCTAGGACTGCAGCTGGTTTCAGGAACTATCAATCAAGTCATGATTCAATGATGTTCTACATTGGAATGAGAATACTGAAAACCCGTGGACGTCGAGCTGCTTACAATATTTACCTGCACGAATCTGTTGGGGGCACAGACTATGTCAATTCCCGTGAAATATCATGTGAGATGGTTCTGGAACCCGATCCAAAGGGTTACACAATTGTGCCTACGACGATACACCCAGGCGAAGAAGCACCATTTGTTCTGTCTGTCTTCACAAAAGCATCGATAACCTTGGATGTCTTATAGCACATGTGATCACTCTCTTCAGCTGGTTTTATCACGTGAGGTGAGAATGCCTATGTGCATCACCGACATATCGAGTAGCTTGGGCTGGCGGCAGTCTGTTTTCTGCTTCTGGGGTTTCATTGACCTTGACCTTATTAATCACTGCGAGATCACCTGGTAAACAATTCTTTAAGTTCATTATCGTTTTCCTCTTTCGTCTATATTCAATGGTATGTTAGGAGGAACCCTAATTTGCTCTTTATGCCTCTTTTAAGGATATTTCCTTAGATGCATATCTTGGTGCATTTCATCTGGTTTTTAACAAGTATGTTTAGTGTCCTTTTGTTTGGAGTCTAGAACTTACTCGTGTCTCCTTTATGGAGGAGATGTGGGCGCTAGTCTATGAGGAAAGGGAATTTTGAAATAAAGTCCAGCAACCAGTTGCCTAATGTAGGGAGTTGTTGAAGAATGCTCTCTTGAGATGGAGAAACGTTTTGCTTACCTTTTGTAAGGTGTTGGGGCAGGAAAAAGGCTGCTTAGGGGGTTCATTACAAGTGGGGCTAATGGGTTTTGAGTTTTGTTCGGAGGGGATGAGTTCAAATTATGGTGGCCACCTATCTAAAATTTAATATCCCACGGGTTACCTTGGCAATCAAATGTTGTTGGGTTAAGAGTTGTCCAGTGGAATAGTCGAGCCACGCACAAGCTGGTTTAGACAATCACGAAAATAAAAAAACTATACTTAAAACAGTTACATCTCGGCTCTACAATATGACACTCACGTTATTACTGCGGAAGCATGGTCATGACAGCAATGGTGCTCGTCATGGTCAATTCACAGGTGAGGGTGGCAGCAATGGTGGTAAAGGGACTCTTGGAGTCAATGGGTTCAAACCCATGGTGGTTACCTAATAAAGTGTACGAGTTTACATGAGATTAATCAAAATACACTCAAGCTTGTCCTAATACTTGAAATGTATGGTATGGTGGTAATCTAAAGTGTATGCACCCAAGTTGCCCTAATACTCATGGATCTGAATACCAAACATACAAAATTGTCACATGAGATTAATCAAAATCCACTCAAGCTGGCCCTTATACTCATGGATTTAAATACCAAACATAAAAGTTTGTGCATGTATCTTCATGTATACGGGCAGATGACTACATTAGAATTTAGAATTCTCATAGCTCCTTTTGAAAGGATGGGATAGTTGAATCTAACCAAGTTTTTTCTTCTCAGTTTGCAATGTCATACAATCTCAGCCTCAAAGCAATCACCCTTCTGGGTCAGCAATTTGGTAGATTTATGCCGCCACAGTCGCAAATCCGTTATCAGCTAAAAGCACAAACACGGTATAGTGAATGAGCTGCGGTTTCGTTTTCTGATTTTGTGGGACGAAGATGCTGAAGAAATGGTGCAAAATTGACATTCTGAGTATCACGAGTACATCAGGTACTTCTGTCAATCTTGTATGTATATAGGTAGATTTTGTATTTAACTAATATAATGTAAATTTCTTTCTATTTTTTCCCTTTTTCGGATGGAGGGGCGAAAAAGTAATAGGAAACACAAATTAGCATTTAGCAGAGCTAAGTCAATTTGGGGAATATAGAGAAAAGCAGTGCAGCTGGTAATGCTATGGCTTCCAGCTGCAGTTTTGAAAGCTTTAATAGTCGGAACATCATCCAGTTCAACTGTACAAAAATGCTTTATTTTTTCAATATAATCTTCGATTTTTATATTCGAGTATCGTAGACTGTCCATGGTTTGGTTTTGACTTGATTAAAGTTTTCATATTTGTTGATACTGGAAACATGGAGTTATCCATATAATGCATGAGAACTTGGAAAAATGTCTGTTCATGTGGAAATCTGGGAATTTTGATAGTTGGAGAGAACTCCATCTTCACCAATTGCACAACAATGGGAAGGGTCTCAGATATTTGAAGGTTGGACATGAGAGTAATTTTGAATTTCAAAAAAAAAAAAAAAATTTGTTTGGTACATTTTTTTTCTTTTGGTGATTTCAAAGTTCTTTAGAATGTTTACAAGCATATAAAGTTTAAACTTAGGCCAAATTATACAAAATGTCTTTTACTTGTGTAATTGGTTTCAATTTTTAAATTTGTCAGTTTCATTCTCAACTTTTAAATTTGTTATAAAAAAAATTGAAACTTTTTAAAACTTTTAGAAGTAATATTTTAACTAAATAACTAAGGTTGTACTGAGAAAAAAACTAAGTAGCAACGTCAGTATTTCGGTAAAATTGAAACAATAAATTGTATAAAATATTATAAAAATATAAAATTAGTTTCAATTTGATAGCATGAACTTGGTTCAACGGTAATTTTTATCGAAGAGGTCACAAGTTCAAATCCTCTACTTTGTACCTAAAAAAAGAAAATTAGTTTCAATTTTGTCTCAAAATTTAAAAACTTCCAATTTGACATAATTATAATTTGTTTGAATGTTTGAAATTTGTAATGTCCAAGTCAAAATGAAACAACTTTATTAAATCGAACCAATACCACCTTTTTTCTTGCTACTAACCACAAGAATGAGTTTAAGAATGACTGAAACAAAGTACAAGAATAAGTCAGAGTGATTACATTTCAAGCTGGTGATGGCAATTGGCAAAAGGCAAATTACTTGGAAAGGAAGCAGCAACCCAAGCATGACTTGTAAAAGAAGTAAACGGTACAATTGTCAGAATCCACCAATGAAGATGAAAAAAAACTAGAATCATTCGTGCTCTTCCAAACTAAATTTACTCAAATTAGCCAATAGAACAAATTGAGTGACTCTGACTTACATCTCAAATCTGAAAAGTGCCCAATCAATTTCAACCCAAAAAAAAAACCCACCAAAAGTCCACTATCCCTCTGGCCTCTCTCTCTCTCTCTCTCTCTCTCTCTCTCTCTCTCTTTGTTTATCCAAAATATGGCTACCAAACAAGTGGGTTATGGTTATTATATCCATATGGTCTCTATTTGTGTCTCTTATTGATTCAGTCATTCTGAGTCACTATCCATACTTCTCATGGCCTTCAATCCTCTAGGTCTCTGCACCATAACCCAAGTTCTTATTATTAGAATGAGAACCCAAAACAAAACAAAAATGAAAAGGAAAAAGAAAAAGAGAGTATGATGTGTAATGGATTGAAGAATGAAGATTGTTGTTCTCATCTTCTACAAAACATTTCAGTGAAGGTTTTTACATTAACAGTTGGATGGAGAAGTGGTGTTTTACCTTCTTTGAAGTTTTCTTCTCCCTCACCTCATACCTCTCTTGGCACAAGTCTGATAGCCATGAGCCTGGCATCACCAGCTGCATCCACAAACAAGAGAGGAGTTAGCTGATTTTAGACGAACCGAGACGGTTCCTGGGTTGGCACTGGGATTGCTTCCTTTTCCTCCTTGGAGGATCAAGGATAGAACACTTACAACTAAGCTTTTCTGTAGCAGCTTGGCTCTCTTCTTAGGCCTTTGAGGAAGTTTACACCCTTTCATGGCCATGAAATCTTCTTCCTTCTCCTTGCTGGACAGAGAAAGAAAGAGCCTTGGCCAGACAAACCCTTTTCGGTCGTTCCCTGTCGGCTGATCCAATGAGGCTTTTTCATCCACGCCCATCGAACCCCTTGTTGTGTAGTATCGGTCTTCCTTTTCGGGTGATGTTGCTGATGTTCTTTGGTTGTTTGTTGGCAAAACAACATTCCTGTTACCAACAAGGATATATTGACTAAATCAGCACCAATAACAGCTTACATGATTTAGTAAATCCTAAGGCTACAAGTTGAAAAAGTGAAATAAAGAATGCTTGAGATATACATAAGGATCTCACTACAGTTCAATCACAAACTCTTCCTCATCCTCAAGTTTTCAAATGATTGCATTCAAATAAAAGATTCATCGTCAAGTTTTCTAAAGCTGGAATATGATCTTGTTTTTTAAAGCTGTCCAATACCTAAATCTTGTTGGATTCTGAAAGAGCAGAGGAAAATCAACTTCAACTTCATCTTCATCTTCATTAGGATCATTTTATATTACTCCCCCCCTCCCCCCAAAAAAAAAAAAAAAAAAAAAAGAAGAATAAACAAAGAAAAGGGAAAAGTATTGATTGAGGAATCCTGTTTCTTACTTGTTAAGGCGATAGTTTTGCGGAGTAGATGAAGCTTTCTCAGCTGAAACAACACGGCGATCACCATTAGCATTAGAAGAAACTTTCTTCTTTCCCAAACAATCAGGTTTGCTAGTTACTCTTTCAGGTTCCTTGACCTTCATATATCTCATCCTCTTCCTATTCCCCCACTGCAACACAAAATCTGTTTCACCAGATTTATTACTTTTCTGAGCTATTCCTTCGTTGTCCATATCTCTGCAACAAAAATCACATTCACCATTTGCTCTTTTCCACAAAAGAAAGACTCCAAAATCAACACAAAAACCCACAAAAAAGAAAGCTAAAAAACAAAACTGCATAGAATTAGAAACTAACCTCAAGATCCAACGCCAAAACTCAGTGGATTAAACACGATTTCCCCATATAAACCCTGCATTCAACGGATTAACAACCATTACCCTCTCGCAATCTTCCACTACAAACAAACGATTCTCCAGACGAAGATGCAAAAATCAAGTACCCTTTCTTTCAGTTTTTTGGACAAGTTGAAAAGACAAGAGGAAAAACGACAAGGAAATGAAGCTCGCTCGACCCATTACCGGATTCGGAGTCGCCATTCTTCGTTTCCCCAAAATTTTCTCCAAAACTAAACAAAACCCATTAAAGAAGTAGAAGGGAAAATAAGATTACAGCGACGAAATCTTCAATGGGAATCCATCAAAAACATCTCCAACGCCATCTTCATCACCACCATCATCAACAACAGCAGAAGTCGCAACAAAAGCCCAGTGGTGAAAGTAAAAGAACCGTTGAACCCCCAGAGAGAAAGATGGAAATGGGGAGCAATCTTCCGAAGGAAAAGAGAAAAAAAGCTCTCAACAATGGAAGAAGAGTTATCTCTGATTTCTGGGTCGCAGTTAGTTTTTAGCATTCATAGCAGATAGAGAAGAAAAATCGGCCGCGCTTCACTTCACTTGCACAGAAGCTCTCTCTAATTTGTTGTTCCTCTGTTCTCAGTTTTTCACCCTATTCTGCTTTTTCTTTTTTTTTTTAATTGTTTTTTTACGTTGAAAATCAAAAGGAAAATTGCGGAATATTGTTGCGCGTCGGATTTGAAATGAACGGTTGGATGGAATCCGGGTCGACCCGATAAGTTTCACTGCACGTGACTTCGGGTTGATGGATTCAAACGAAATCTATTGAATGAATTTGCGTAAATTGCACTAATCAGAGCAGCTACAATCTGCTGTGGTCACGTACACTGATTTGAATGGCTTGATTTGTGACACGTCATCATCTGTGCCCTAATTTACCTCGATTGATGCCACGTCATCATTTTCTTTATTTTCATATAGATTTATTAGACTATTTTCGTCGAAATTTCATTTTTGTTCTTAAATTAAAAAAAAATTGAGTTCAACCAATATATTGGATTAGGAATTTGAATTTCCGAGGTCAGAATATATTCAAAAATCATCATTTTGGTTTTTGTTATTATTTTGGTTTTTGTGATGACTCCATTAATATTTGTCTCATCATCTAATCTATTTGACTCCTTGTATGTGTTATATTAGTGTGTTAATATACATCAGTATTGGTTTATTTTGGTCATTTTACTTCAAAATATTTATGTTATTTTTGTACTTACAATTTTAGTTTATTTTAGTCATGTATTTTTAAAATATTCTTTTTAGTACCTATATTTTAAAAGAAGTGACAATTTTGGTCACTATTTGCAAAATTTTAACACAAGTTCTACACATAACGGAAATCATTTAATACAAAGTAATTATTATATTTCAAGAAATATATGGAGTGTAATGTTGTGTTAAAACTGTGATAGAAAAATGAGATTAAAAAAATATTAAGAGACCAAAATGGTCAATTTTTAAAAGTACAAGAACCAAAGCACATACCAAAATAATATTTTAACAAATATGGGGTACGTGAGTTTGAACTTCAGACTCAAGAAAATGAGTAGATATTATTTATCGTTGAGTTACTATGAACAAAATAATATTTAAACCAATATTATTGCATTAAAAAGATTAAACTTACGATAATCTGACCATTCGAGCTTTTGAATAATCTAACATTGTATCATTACAGAGGATCTTGATATTCATTTGTTTGGGTTTCGGGATAATTTTCAAACTCGCCAGGGAAGAAAATTTTTTGAGAATATATTAAGAATATTAAAAGTATATCACCCTTGAACTTGATAGTCTTTTGTAAATATTTAACTTCTTTTTGTTGATCAAATCATTTTTTTTTGTTGGAATAAAAGAAAATACAAATCTCATTATTGATTTGGTATGATTCATAGTTTTTATGGTGCGTTTCATACCAACCATTCAATTTAGTTCACATTAAAAAGGAATTGTGACAATATATTCTATTTTCACTTTGAAAGAGTTTATAATAACGAATATTCTATGATACGAGAATGATATTTTTATTATCGTTTCAATATTTTTAATCTTTTTTTTTACAATAAATATAGAGATTGAATTTTGAAGCTCCAAATCTCAAGAAAATGAATAAGATACCATAATTACTTAATTGCTGATTTCTTTTAATGGGTTGTTAATTAGTAAAACGTGATCTAAAATCTTAATATTTTCGATATGAAACGGAAGTTCCCTCGTACTGCATTATGAATTTGAAACTTATAAATCATTTTTTGTTACAATGAAAAGCTAAATTCTTAACTAATCAATTTTATCAAATATTTTAATTGAAATATAGGACATCTATTTCTAAAATAAATTCAAAAGAATAATTAAAGAGAGAGGTGGGTTGGAAATTGTGATTAAAGCTTGTTGATGCTAATAATAAAATAATTAGTTGGTGACTTTTAGTGGAAGCCTTTTAGCTCAGGATACTTTGGCCTATAATAATCCCGTATTTAGTCCGGCTTATTTTATTTTATATTTTTAATTAAGTTTGATTTTAATGATTTTAGTTAAAAATAACGTCATTTTATTTTATTATTAATTTTAAGATAAAGTTTTAATTAACTCAAATTAAATTTGTTTAAAGATTTTTATTTTATAAATAAGAAATTAAATTGATTTTGTTTAGATTTGTTTAAATAAAATTTGAATTTAGTAAAAGATTTTGTTTTTTTAATAAAAAAAGCTATTTTGTTTTTCTCTTTTTTTTCTTCCTTTTTTCAAACCACCAACCAACAACTAACGTGACTTTCTTTCCTTGATTTTCTCCTTATCTCGTTTAAATCTTCCACATTACCGTTATATAAATTTTGTGTATTTAAGAGGAGAGAGCATGCATGGGGGACATATTATAAAAGCACCGAGAGAAAACGTGTGAAAGGAGAGTTTTTTTTTTCTCTCTTCGNTGAAATTTATGTGTTTTTGGGAGGTTTCCACGTTGTTTTATTTAAAGATTTTGAAGTTGATTTATGAACGGTTTTCTTTTGAAATTTAGTAGATCTTTGAAGAGTTTAGAAGCTTTTACTTTTGAAAAATTGCAGTAGATTTTGAGTTTTTTTTTTTTTACAAAATTGATTATTTTTTTTTAATTAAAAATTTTTAGATTTTGAACTTTTTTTATTGTTTATTTTTTGGGTTTTCAAATTTGGGAATCAAAACAAAAGGTTGTTTTTTATTACCAATTAAAGTTTTAAAAAGAAAATAAGTCTTTTAAATTAAGTTTTTAAATTAAGTTTTAGAATTTTTTTTTTCACAATAAAATATGTTTAAAATAAAGCTCTAGCAAAAGTTTTGGATATTGACACCCATGATACAAGTTCAAACAAAATTAAATAATAAAAAGTTTATATTATAAAAAAGTTTTTTAAGCTCTAGACTCCAAACCCTTATCTCAAAAAAGCTAGCAAAGTGATAATTGCGTAGATTTGGAAATTGAATGTCTTGATTCGATGTGTTTAGTAATCTATTTATAAAATAGTGTTAGTTATCAACTAAATATCTAGTTCAGTATAAAATATTATTAATTAATTCATTAGCCCATAGGTTATAAATTTTGTATAATTATTATTTTACAATATTATATCCTGTATCATATATTATGTTTTACATATTGTAATTGTAACAAAAAATGAAATGAATTTATTAACTAAAACAATACATTTATCAACAATTAAAAAAAATTAATGTAATTTGCATATTAAAATTTTAAATTTAGAATCTACGCTTAAAAATAAAAATGTTGTTTTGAGAATTCTCAAATTGTTTTCGAAAATAAATCTACTAAACAATTATTCGCTGAATTCATTTGATTCAATAAATCTAATCAAATCTGAAATCTCTACTAAACAACCTCTTATTAATTTGTTTTAGTTCAAATAAAGTGAATTTTTTAAAATACTATTTTTATTCTTGTATTTTTAACTTTGGCCTCTGTATTCTTATGGTTTGTTCATTTTATTTATTCTTTTTTCAAAAAGTCTATTTTGGTTATACTTTATAAACTGGTTAATATTTGGTTGTTATTTACAAATTTTTAACACAAAATGTATACATAATGGAAACCTTTTAATACAAATTTATAGATACATTTAAATAAATATGTTAAAATTATGATAGAAAGAAATAAGATAAAAATGAAAATAAAGGATCAAAATCATTAAATAGACATTCCAAAATAGAATAACCAAAATGAAACAGAAAAATGAATGTACACCGTGTCAGGTCTACACATCATGTCGTATTTTTCTCTCCAACACATAATAAAATCAACCAAAGGAATATTTAAACCAAGATTTAATATTTCTATTCATTTTTTTCCTCCATTTCCCATTGTTATTATCTTCATTCTCAAACCAGTTCTTCTCTATTTGAACTCTTACCCATTGCATTTTGCATCTTGAAGCACATTATATATTTGTCTTAAAATCATTTTTATCATTATCTCGGTCGTAAAGTTAATTATAAAGTTTTTTTTCTTTCAAAACAACTAATAATCGATTATTAAAGAGTTGACTCGAGTATAGTTTAATTGTTCAAAATATCATTAATCTCTCCTATGAGTTGTAAGTTCAAATCATCACATGTTGTTCATCTTCTATGGTTAATTTGTATGATACTTTTGAACAGTTTTTGATTTTCTTCGTTGTTCTAATTTATCGAGCAAATAAACACAATCAAAATTTAAAAAAAAAATTAACCCCTCCACCTTGAAAATGGTTCTCGATGATAAAAGACGATAATGGGGCCCATTCTCAATGATCAAAGTTTGGTAAGAAATACATGTGCTTTTCTAATCTTTGGTATAATGTAAAGATGTCATTTTTTTTGGTCTTGGTACTTTAGGTAGACTATATAAATATTATATTCTTTTTTTTTTTACCTAAAGTACCAGGACCAAAAAAATGACATCTTTACATTTCAGGGAAATCCTAAGAAATGGCTACCTACAGTATATGATAATGAAAAATGACTAAAATTTTCGTAAATTGGATATATGACCATACTTGATTTCCTGAATTTTAGGGGAGGGGTAGAATTTCATATTTACCCCTCCGCACATTTCATGTCCATTTTACCCTCGCATCATTTCTCCATTTTACCCGTCCAGTTTTCAACAACCCACACCCCATAAATCACATTATTAAACTACCAAATCCCTAAAATTTCTCCATAACCAAACCAGCAAAATCTCTACATTGTAAAGCTACCAAATCTACATTATCAAACAACCGAATCTACYTATATCATTCAAACATTTTAAAAATATTATTAATTTGTCTCCAACATATAATCTAATTAAAATCTATAACAAACCTAACTAATTGGGTAGTAAATTCCGTTGCAATCACATCTTCTAAATATTCTTACACTCATCAATCCCCATTTTTTATCAACCCAACAATCTCAAGTTCCTTCAGACATGGAGGGATCAACAAATCGAGCAGAGAATGACTTGTAAAGTTCGAGTCTCCAATTCCGTGATCGAAATTTATCTGGTAAGCATTTAGATTATAAGAAGAATTCAACTCAACAATACAAGAACTGAAGATTTTTTTT